GCTGGCACCTGAATCCTGACCTGCCCAGTGCTGCCTGAACCCTGTCCTGCACTGCCTGGATCAGGCCTGGCATGCCCCGACCCTGCCTTGCACTGTCCCACCGCACGTGCCCAGATTGGGCACTGAGCTGCTCCAAGCTAGCACGTAGGAGTCTGGAAATTTAACAGCAGGGGAGTGGGCTTTAAAGCTACCACTGCACCGCTGCTGCCAAATTTTTGGACCCATGGGAAGCCCTGTGGCAGGGTGACAGCTCTGCAGACCAGAGATTGAGCACCCCTGGTTTAGACTATTTCCTTTTTATCTAGAGGCCTGTTTCATTCTTTGAAACCTCAGGACTTCTTTAGTGCAAAAAGGCTGCCAGCCTTGTTGCATACAGTTGTGATTACCTGCAGGAACTCTGCTGATTGTTCAGTTGCTACATACAACTACTGCAATGATGGGGATTTTGAATTTGTGGTGATGATGAATTTGGGCCATGATTAAGCAGGACTAATAAGAGCTTTTTCTTTGTTTCCTAGTTCAGAGGAACTTCCTATCCACGATGCAGCAATAGAAAAGGTAAGTTTAATGACTTTCTAGCTCTATAAAACTGACATGTTTATAATAGTGAGGGCCAACCATTTTGGCAGGTGTGCCACAAATTAGCCCCACGTTCTCTGAGTGCCACTCTGATTCCCTTCCTGTGCCTAATCTGCTTCCCTTTCCTGTTTTCTGCCCTCTATTCCCTGCCTGGTCTGCAGATCTGCTTTCTGCTCCCTAGCTGATTTGCTGCTCTGCTTTGTGTCCTGTCTGCTGCTGTGCTTTGTCCACTCTCTGACATGCTGTATGCTACACAGTCAGGTTGGCACACATACAGCAAGACGGCCCCTCTGGTTTATAATATTGCTGTAGACCTGGGGGTATTGAGTTACATTTTCTGATTTTCATATCCACGGCAGCACATTCCTTGGGGATACAAGTCTTATTAAAATCACACATTGGGTTATACTGCACTTGTGTTCATGTAGGCTGGGTGCTCTCCCAGGAACCACTGACACCTCTCTTGGGTCACCCAGGAAAATTTTGTACTTTTTATTATTGTTTCCAGGCTCCTCGAACTTGGTTGAATTAAGTTCAAATTTATCCTCTTGCTTCACATTACTGAATCATCGAAAGATAATTCTCATTAAATGTTTCAAGATACACTTGCCTCTCTCCTCCTCCTCCCGCCAGTTCAATTGCTTTCTATTAATTAACACCCTCTACTGCTGTCTTTGTTGGCTTCTTTGCCATTCATATTAGCTTTTTGTGCATGGAGTGGGAGTAGTTGATTTGGTTTAAACAAAGGATCTAATAGCATTTAACAACTGTTTCTTTTGGGAAAGATGTGGGTCACCAGGAGAAGCTGACAAAGATCAAAGTAGGGCTAGAGGGGTGACAGTGCTTCTGTTAAAGGATGAAGGATTCTTGAGTGTGTTTTTTTTTTTTTTAAAAACTCCTTGATCCGCCTTAGTTTTTTTAATGTTTTTTTCTGAAGTTGCATTGAGTTTTCCTGTTCTACTTTGCTTAATAGCATGCTGATTGTATATATTGTTTCATTTTCATTGGAAAGACCTGGCAGGGTGTTGAGGCATGAATGTTCACTGGTCAAATGCGAGACAATTCTCAATTACTTTTCATTATTATTTATGGTACTCAAAGCTCTGATTTACATGAAATATGTATTCATCCGTAACTCACTGAGTGAAAATAGTGACTTCGTCTCATGTTTCATTAAAGCTATTCTGGACAGGACAACTGCATAGGATTTGTGTTTATTGAATCATTTTACTTTCCAATGTTCAGTTGCAAATGTATTTCTTTAAATAAGTGCAGTATATCCTTTTTACATTTTGGTGATATCCTGACCTCTACTGGCCTGAGGCTTATGTATTACTTCTGTTAGTAGTGGATGGATCTTTTCTGTAGTTTCCATAGGACAGTTAATATGTTCTTTCACTGTAGGCTAATAGTAAAGAAAATCCAAAGTTTTGGGGGGCACTAACTTTTTAGCTCAGTTATTTGACAGTGAAGGACTGCATAGGTTTCTTTTCTGCTCTTGTGTGATGTCAAGAAACAAGGATAAGTGATATTTTCATCCAATTCGTAGTTACATATAGCAGGGCATTTACTCACCTATTCGGTCACAATCTCTTTTCCCTTCAACCATGATCTGTCCTCCTTACGCATTCTAGTGCACAGCCTAAATTGTATTTCTGCGTGCATCTAAAATGTAAAATGCTTTAGAGACAGTGTGAATCCAGAATCACTACTTTTTACGCTTCCGTAACTTAGCTGCCAGGTTATTTAAACAGCCCAAACCCCATGATCTAAACTAATTAAACTTTGTATGAATTATGCAGTGTTCTTAAGTGTAAAATTAGGGCACTAAGCTGTGAGTCAGGAGACAGGGATTCTCTAGCCAGTTCTGCCTCCTGTGCTGTCACCTTGTACAAGTTGCTTCGCCTCTCTGTGTTTAATTTCTCCTCTTTATTTAAGTTGTAAATTCTTCCACCTAAGAGTTTCTCTTATTCTGTTGATACGGCATATTTCACACTGGGTTCCTGAAGTTGCTTGGGTCTTCCACCAAAGGCATTTCTCAAGCTTTCTACTCTAGGTTTGCAATATAAAGGAAAGCTATACACCGAGGGGACCTTTGCTAGCTACATTTCATGTCTTTACCTTTCAAATTATTACTTTTATGTCTTTAAGTTCCAGTAAACAACTCTCTCAGGTTCAGTTCAGGGTTTTTTTTTTTATTCCCGAAGTTTAAAATCAACTGCATAAGGCAGAATGAGGGATCTTTTTTGAGATTACCATGTGGGGTCTAGCTTGTCTGAGGAAACAGCATCATCCATCTTCCCTGCAGCCCACAATGCATTGCCTATTAGACATGAAAGGGAATGTCCCTCAGTTTATGAAAAAAGTCAGGGGAAAAAAAAAAACTTTTCAAAAGCTGAACTGAATTGATATTTTTGATAAATGAAGCTCCTGAGAACCAGGATAGATTGATGTAGGAGACAAGAGATCTGAATGAGCCTTGACCTGAAATGTTTTCCTAGCTGAAAAGGTAGGAGATCTTCAAAATAGATCCTAAAGTCCAGCATCAATGATGAGAGTCAAATGGGATTTTATTTTTCTTGACAGTTAATTGAATAACCACTGGCCACCTTCTTTGCAGCACTGGAAACTTTGTATGCTTGTTGGTCCTTCAGTCTAAGCTATACCCACAGAAATCAATACAGAGAACCCTGGTGCTGGGATATTAAAATTGGGTACTGTAGCTTTTCCATCTGACCTGAAAACATTTAAGAGCAGTGATTTTAAACTTAAAGTAGAAGGCAACAACTTTTCTACAAGTATAAAAATAGAAGACAACAACTTCCCTTTTAAGCTAAAAGCTACATATAATAGGCAACAAGAACCTATTTGAGAGCCAAAGATGCCAGTAACTGCCTAGAAAACTTCACAAAGATTTCTTAAGCACAGCATGAAATGCCACAGAAACCTCAGGGCAATTGATTGCAACTTGAAAAGTCAGATACATAAGGCTGACAGTAGAAATACCTTATTCCAGGATTCACTGCTAGTCGGAGCCGATGCTTTAAAATGCACACACAATTGTCACGTTATGATATCATTCATATATTTATTGTGACCACATTTTTCACTGTCATTAATATGGAAAAAGCTCTTTAGCCACCATTTTGCTTTCTCTCAGCTTTCCAGGCCTGTAGCTGTCATCTATCTGTTTTACTCGTACATAAATTCTGCTTATCAGAACTTAACTGTTGTCTGAGAAGTAAGTACAAATTCATACAGAGTTGACAGTAGGAGCAGATTTATGACATTACAGATAAACATATTTAAAATAAAACAAGTTTTTTTTTATTATACAAGCACATACATATTTTTTTCTAATGCTGTCATAAAGGTTTCTTTCTTAATATCAAACTTTGACTAACGATACCTTGCCCTTATATTTATAGGTGAGAGCCTGAGAAAATTATTCTAATGCACATCATGTTTCTGCTCTATTACAGTGTCCTGAAATGCTATAAAATCACTGTTATGGTTTCTGTCTGGCAGCAGCCTTGTAGAGTGATGCTGTCATTAGCCTACACAGTGGCACTTAGGTGTCTCACACGCCCTGTGTGGCAATTACCTATATGCTGTAATTTGGGAAAATGCTTGTGTAAGAATATGGAAGCTTTGTGTATGAACCTTAAGCCTTTTGTGCCATTGGGTATGGCTCTTAAAGGCATTTCTGAAATAGTCAGCCCTCTGGTAGGATAAGATTTTTTTGTATAATATGATAGCTCAATAGCTGTCATAGCTGTAAGAGATCAGATACAGGCATCAGACTGTTCCTGCTTCCAGGCTTGGACCAGATGGATGGAGGTAAAAATAACTGCTTTAAAACCAAGTTCCATTCCAGGACACTTCATGGACAGTATCGTGGAATTAAAGGTGGAGAAGAACTGTAACGTCATTGAGCTATACGTGTTCTAGCTCAGACTTATTCCTTTTAGGGGAGCGTTGAGTTAGGCAAGTGCTTTTTCCATTCTCCTGTGTTGATGAGGCAGAAGGAATACACGCAATCTTTTGGAAAATAGAAGGTGGCGAGTAGTAAAATTAGAATTTCCATTTGACATCAAGTAGTAATTTTCATTAATATTTTTTCTGCAACTTTTCTTCAAAGTCACAGTTAATGGAAGCATTAATCAGTTTTCAGTGTCCTGCAGAGCTTTGAAATTAAACTCCGTTATACCATCTGCAAAGTTGCATTGCTACCCATATATAATAGAATATGCTTAATGTCTTATCAAGCCCCAGATTTGAGGTCAGAGGTGTAGGACAGCATTTTATCAAAAAGCAAAATCTCTCCCACATTTATTTCAGAAGAGAAAGCCAGAAACAATGAACTTGAATGTTTTCCCCGTTTGTTTTGACTTTTTTTTTTTTTTAGAACTGATTCTCAGCCTGGGAGACTCTTACAACAATGAAAACCCTGCAGTGTTTCTTACAAAAGTTAAACCAGTTACAGGGCTAATGGACTATCAATGCCAACAGTAGACAACCCAGCCACTTCACAGCAGCACCGCCTACTGTGTTCCCACCTCCTCAATCAGCTTTCTACCTGAATGAGAGAGAAAAGTGTGGGCTTCGTTGAATACCTAAGATGTGTAACTCTGGAGGACCAAATTTGATAGCAAATTACAGAGCCTAAGAGCTTCACTGAAAGTGTCTGCCTTGCAGACCTACCCTATATGTTGGGTGCTGATTACAGCTGTGACAGAATTGCATGGGCAAGGTGACAGTTCCTCGAGTAACTAGGTCACATTCAATTAAGGGCTGTATGCATGACATTTTGGTATGTACCCTAGCATGTGGTTTTATATGGGTAGGCCTGCATAGTTAATGGCTGAGCCAACATGAGATAACTTGTCCTAGTTCTTGACCTGAATGCGATGTAGCCACACTAATGTTTCTCAGTGCTTTCTGCTTTGGAAGCTGCTTTGCACAAAGCTAGTACACAGTGTCTTAGCTGTCAATGTCTGGCACCATATAGGCACGTACCTACACATCCATATACACCCAGATGTTAATATGCCCATCAGCATGACAAAGCATCATGCCTGCTATTGGATTGTGGTAGAAGATAATTGCCTAATATTATTTTTTGTTTTTAATCACTTTTAGAAATTTCTAGTATAGATCTCTTAAAGGAATCAGACTTGAAAGAATATTGACATATACTTTTATTTCAGCAAAAGCACCTTGAAATTGAAAGAACCACAAAATGGCTGAAAATGCTGAAAAGCTGGGAAAAATACAAGAACAGTGAGAAGGTAAAGTTGTGCATGGTTTTGATCAGTTATTGTGTTGGGTATAACACTTAAATAAAGTATGGTGATTCTTCCCTAATATATAGTCAGCAAAATACAATTCAAAAGCTTGCTCTCTCTTTTTTTTCTTTTTTTTAATTGCGTGGTGTGGCAATATGTAACAAAATAATAAAGACACTGTTGTTCTAATAAAGAGATTTTTATGCAGAGTATTGTATGGGCCACGTGACATATTCCAAACTATAATTATGTATGAATTCCAGTACTGCATTATTGTCATGGAGTAGGATTAGGATATCTAGGATTGAAGAGCCATCCACAGTTACGTGTGTGTAGCATAACTTCTGAAGTGCAAGAGGTACTGTACAGGGCAAGATGAGTAGGTAAACAAGGAGTGAGCTACTAGTCTTCAGCCAGGAAGACTAGGAAGGTAGCTGGCCTGGTAAGTTCATACACAGCTACATTTGATGTACATTCTAAAATGCTTTCATAGACTTGAGCAGAGGGAAGCTGAATCCAAAAATTAAAACTCCGGAGGGGGGAAAAAATTGCCTCAGCACATTGTAGAGCTATAAAAATAGAGTGCTAAGGGGGCATCTTTGGAGGGTCATAGTAGAGCACTGTGGGATGCAGGAGTTGAGAGATCTACTGCATCACTACACATAATGGCACAGACATTATATGAAGCATTACAAAATATATTGCTACAGGTGGGTTTTGTTTTTGTAGCGCTTGTTTAATTTTTGTGGTGCTACAGGGGGCACGAACATTTGTCCCATCAGCTTTTCTAGCTCCGTAAAGGCATTTGTAGCATTAGAAATGTCCATGAGATATGGGCAGGAATACGTCTCATGAGATCTGCTGGCTCTTAAATGTCAAATCTTTTATTCTTTATGTAATGTTCATTAGGTATCCATGTAGACAAACAGCCCTCCTTTTTCAGGCAAGGGTTTGTAGAATGGACTAAGACAACCCCTGTTACTAGTGCAATAAAATTGGTTTAGGTAACTGCCCAAGGAATCTGACTACTCATAAATTGTGCTTTGTAACTGGATATTAAGTGAGCCTGTCCTTTAAGTGGTCCCTTAAGATCTGTGATCGTGTTGTGTTAAGAGTGGGGATGCAATAGAATAAGTTGTAATATAACAAGAAAGGAAAATGCACCTCTAAATACAATTTAATTATTTCCCTTGTTGTGATTTCATTTTCCTGAGTAGAATAGGTTTTTTGGCACCTTGACCTTCATGAAGGCAAATCCTTTTTATGGTGCATGTGATATCTATTTCAAGAGTGTTTCTTGCATCTTGGTGCACTAGTTTTGATAAATTATTACATAAGAATCACGTCATTATTTCTTGAAATGCCATGGGCAGTTATTCAACAGCATACAGCAGTGCTACACAGCAGCTCAGGACAAAGTGAAGAAAATCAGTCCAGCTTGATGCTACAGGGAGTTTTAAGTCGGTGGAATGATCTATTTCGTATTTAGTTCAGGATTCTGATGTTAATATCGCTAAAGCTCTTGAAAATTGCTGTGGGATTTTTTATAACTCTGAGGCCAGCTCCAGACATACAGGTATGCACGGTCTGTCGCATGGCAAACCTTTGCAGCGCCACAGACTGTACACGTTGCATGTTAAACCATGTGCGGCACTGCTAATTTGCAAATTAGCAGTGCTGGGGCAAAGTTTGCTACCGGGATTTCCTGGTAGCAAAAAAACCCCAACTCCCCTAAAAAAAAAAAAAAAAAAAAAAAAAAAAAAAAAAAAAAGTGGTGCAAAGCACCAAAGCAGTGTATGCTAGGACAAATGCAGAGATGGAAGAGCAGGCAGTCCTGGCTGCTTCCCTGTCTCTGTGCCCCATCGCAGGGGCTCTTTTTCAGAGCCCCCATACTGAGACACTTGGAGACGGGGGAGCAGGCAGCCCTCTACGTGCCGCTCCCTGGCTGCCTGGGGCACAGGGTGACTCAGTGTGGGGGCTGCCTGCCAGCTAGCCCTGCACTCGGGCACCTTTTGCCCCAGACAGCTCCCCCCTGCAGCACATGGAGCAGTGGGACAATGTGTCCTGCTGCAAAGTGCCCAGGGAAGGGCACATGCTGTGGCACAATTTGCACCACTACTATTTGTGCTCTGCCAATGCATGGCCCTGCTCATGTAGATGAACCCTAAGTGGTTAGAAACTTATTTTTCAACCATCCTAAGAGGTGATGGTGAGGTGTTAGTTGTAAATACTTATTTGTGAAATGTCTGTTGCATATAGGGATCCTGGCAGGATATTGGACCTGGAGTCAGGAAACCTGTATTTGCCTGTCCTCCCATTTTGAACAGCTCCTCAGTCCCCATAAGGCTGTGTAAGACTTGGATCCTTGCTCTTGGTCTGCTTAGTAAACCACCCCTGAACTCTCACTGCACCCCTGCCTTCTTTTTCCTGAGTAAGTGGCTGGGAAGGGTTAGAGAAAGGCTGAACATGAGGCAGAGTTGTAGCTGTGCCCCTCAGCTGGCAAGAGCTGACTTTTGTGTGAATGAAGAAGTAAGCTGCAAACTTTTTGCAGCTGTGGTACGCTATGATCCTCTGGAGGAGAAATGGAATAGTTATTCTTTGAGTTTTCATGTCTTCCCACGGTTGTTGCTGGGAACAACTGCCCAGGCAGCCCCGCTGCCTAGACATGCCGGCCCATCCGCTCTGCACCCAATGCAGGGGCAGGACCCACATGGGCAGGGTGCGCAGCTGGGTGGATGGGATGGGGCTGCAGGCAGGTGGGGAATGGCATCTGGGAGCAGGATGGGCGGGCAGAGCTGGGATCACAGGGTAAGATCATGGGGAGGTGACAGCACGGGGCCAGGGCTGGGGTAGAGCCATCATCCGCCACATACACATCCCTGCAACAGGTTCTGGTTCCATGCTGTCACCACCCCAAGATCCCGGCTCCGGCCATGCCCACTTGTCCCACTCCTGGATGCAGCTCCCCTCCTGCGGGCCCGTCCTGATTCCACGCCCTGACCATGCAGGTCCCAGCAGGTCTCCATGTAGACCCCAGGATCACAGGGCCTGACAGCATGGGGCCGAGGCCCGGGACAGAGCTGCAACCTGCTCCCTGCATGCCCCGGCCTGCGGATCTGTCACCCATTGCAGTGCTATGCTGGGAGCAGATTGTGGCTCTGCCCCAAGCTACAGGCTCCGGTCCCACACTATCATGGCCCTGTAATTCCTGCCTGCCTATCCCACTCCCAGATGCTACTCCCTGCCTGACCTTGGCCCAGTCCCAGATACCTGGCTGAGTGCAGAGCAGAGCCACTTAAGGAGTTTTGGTGAGCTGTTGCAGGGGAAGGGGGTGCTGACTTGGCCTTTGACAGCTCAGCAAAACTCCCTAAGTGGCTCTTGGGCCCTAATAATCGCCCACCCCTGTGTTAGGCTATGGTAGGGCTGTCCAGCTGCTGAGTGACTGGGGGCTGCAGGCCCCCTAGCCACTTGCCATGTGGGCTGCATGCTGTGCTGTGTGGGTCCTCCCCCTGCCTCTCTCTGCAGTGGGAGGGTTTTTGGTGGTGGCAGCAGCAGCAGCAGCTGTAGTGATATGGGGAGCAGCATCCGAACTGGGAGCCTGGGGGCTGTAGGTTAACCCCCCAGGTGCTGTATGCACAGGCCGGTTGGACAGCTCTGGGTAATACAAAGTAGGGCTATTTTGGTCTCTTCTGCTGATACTGTTATTCTTTGTTCCAGTGAACAGAAGTTTTATACAAGAACGGTCCCAAGTTCCATAGAAGTGCCTGTCTCACCCAGCTCTTGTATCGTGCTCTCATATGTGCACACACTCGCTCACTCCCTAAATGAAGATTGAAGTATTCTACGCAGAGTAGAGATGCTTCAAAGAAAGTAGCAGAATATCTCAAGTGTCCTCAGTCAGCAGAGAGGGCTGGGTCCAGGTCTCACACACCTTGCATGTGTGCTTACCACCACCATTGTCTTTAGATTGGTGTGTGAATATAGCCCTTCGTTTTCACTGCTTTGCTCTTGTTAAGAACTTCCTTAAATAGAAACACTTTTTTGTCTGTGCATCTCTGTTTTGTTTTAATCATTGAAGTATTTACACAATTTTACTTGCAGTCCTGTTGCCTCTCCAGAAAGAAATAGTGGATGTATCTTTATCTCCACTAGCTTTCCTTCTTACATGCATCTTTATGGGTATTTTAAATGCTTCTCGTAAGGGCAGTACACAAATTGGGCTTGTCCAAGAGTATTGCTCTTTATCTGCAGGTTTTGCAGAGCTATATGTGATTTGAAAAGGCTACCCAGTAACTATAGCAGCAGTAGCCTTAAGTGGTACAGAAGCTAGTTCTGAGAGAGAGACTGAGATAGAGATGGTGTTTGTGTAAGAAGCACCTTTATCATTTCAGACTGTGAACCTCACTATTTTAATGCTGATCTGGGAGAAGAACAGTTTACTTCTGCATTTCTTGAAAGACAAGTATTATTAACAGAAAAAAGGTGTCATAAAATAAGCATAAATTTTTAATACAGTATATTGTTACCCTGGAGGCTAGCGGCAAGATGCCCAAAGGAACGGAGTCACCTAAATGAGATTTAAGCAATATTTTGGCACCAAAGTTTGAAAGAGATACCCAGACACACTGCCGAAACTGCTTGAGACCCAGTCCTAGGCACCTGGGTTTCCTTGTTTAACGTGGAAAGAATGTCAGCACCCAATTCAGGTTTTCAAGAAATCCACTGCTATTTGACTGCTAAAATGTAAGGGCGCAGAGCATTGTGCCTCTACATACAGGAAATTGGCTGCTACTTTATCTTCAGTTTGAATCAAGCTGGATCAAGAATGTGCTGGCTGTAAGTCATAGAGCTTGAGCAGTCCTTTTGTTGGCATAATTTTTTTTTTAAACACCCACTATGCCAATCCCACTAAGACGATTAGATATGTAGTTGTACAGGGTGTTTTTATGCCCCTCATGATTGATAGGTATGATTGAGACAGTGACCATCTACACTGTGGGTGC